CAGAAGGCGGCAGCAAAGCAGTGAAGAAGCATCAGCAAGCCTGCCTTTATATTCCATCCAGGCTACCACCCTTTGGGTGGTGCCACTCACACTCAGGGCGGGGCACTGTTAATCCCAACATTGTACAGTCCCAGCATCACACACCCTAGATCCAGCCACCTCTGGAAAAACCCCACCCATGACTGCATGGGATTTAGGAAAGACATCTAGATACAAGTCTCAACAGGCTCATGAGAACAGGATGTGTGTCCCCTTCCACCTTATTAATTGGGTCTGGCACCATGGGATTTCTGGTTTTTCCCAAAGTCAAAATGACCATGCAAAGTAAATATTTTGAATCAATTCAGAATATCTAGGCAGCCACAATGGCATTTGTTATTGTCACCTTGTGATCCTTTTTAGATTGATTATTTTTTCCTCAGCAGAGCTGAGCAGTTACAAGAGAGACCAGATAGCCCATAAGGCAAAAATATGTGTCAGGTCCTGTCCAGAAATGCTTGGAAATCTCTCCTCTAGACTGAGACTGTTCAACCCTGCCGAGCCATCAGAATCACCAAGGGACCCTTTTGAATGGCTGCATAGCTGTGCGTGTTTATTGAATTTTCAGTCATAAGTATCATGGGAAGCAGCCAGCAAGGAAAGCAGCTGGCTTAGGAGTGAGTGTCCACTCCATGTCTGTTAATATCTTCAGAAAGAGCTTCAATGTGGAACATGGGAGAAGGTTTTGTTCACATGCAAGAGGTGTTTGTTTATAATAGTTAAGGCAGGACTGAGTTACATCCTTTGCTATTGTTAGGTCAGACCACAGAGGTTTGTGTTTGAACTTGGAGTATGAAGAGCTGGTATCCACTGAAACAGTTTTCTCACCCTGCTGGGGTGGACGTGTGGACAGTGGTTTGCGAACACTGCTGTATTGCATTGTTCGTGAGAGCTGCCTTGTTTGCCTGCCTACCTGTCTCCACTCCGTCAAAATGAAGCTTGCACCTATTAAGAAAAGTGAAGATGTTGACTCAGGATTAACAGGATTAACAACAGCACACTTTTTCTGTTAATGGTGGCACACTGACAGTTTTAAGAAGCATTTCTGCTTTAGGGCGGTGCTCCTTCGTATGCCTGGGGTCACAGACCTCTGAGAGGCTGACAAACACCACTCACCCTCTCCCCACAGGAAAGCATACCATTCTCCCTATTCCCCCCAGGAGAGCTCACAATTTCAGGGCTTCTGCTTCCCTGAATCTGTGGGCTCTGAGCTAAGAATCTCTGGGTACTCTGCTGGGCATGGTGGCACATAGCTAGAATTGAGCGCTCAGGAGGCTGAGACAGGAGTGCCTTGAGTTTGAGGCTAACCTGGGCTGCATAGCGAGTTCAAAGCCAGGCTGACCTACACAGCAAGAGCTTGTGTCACATACACAAAGTGTAATCTCGTTACTGACCTATTTTGAGACTTTTGTCTCTGTAATACAGGGAAGATATGATTTTAAAAAACAGATTAGACTCTTTTAAGAGCTTCTGGATGTTTTTTTTCCTCTTCATTTTGTTATAGTTCAGCACCTTGCAGGTAGTGTTCTTTACTTCCACCTCTAAGACAGGAAATTTGTGGGGTGTTTTTTTTTTTGGCACCAGGGTTTGAACTCAGGTCCTTGCGCTTACACAGCAGGTGGCAAAACCACAGAGCTAAATGCCTGGCCCCTTAAGACAGGAAATTTGAAAACTTAAAATGATCACTCATTTGTGTATTAAAAGTTTTTTGGGGGCAGGTACTGGGGATCGAACTTGGGACCTTCTGCTTGTGAGGCAGGTGGTGGAACCACTGAGCTAAATCCCTGGCCCCTAAAAGGCTTTTCAGAAATTGAGAATGTGTTGTATGCCAAGTGCAACAGGTGCTGTAATGTAGAGATGAACTTTTACAGCCTCTG